CAAATCATATTAGAATTCCAAACATAATACAAACCAAGAAAACATACTTGTTCACCATGGCCGAAAAGAAAATTTAGACACACGGCAAGAGACACGGGTAAGAGAAAACGCTTCCAAGAAATAAAAAATACGAACAGTAGATTCAAATAAATGTATTCAATAGAATGTGAGAAGAAAGAACAATTCATAGAGAGAGGTGACCTTGAACTTGACATAACTACTGAGTATATGCATGGGGACATGTTTTGTCAGGAGGCACAGAGCTATTAACTTAGTCAATAGTTAATGTCACTTGAGCATAACATACACATGGATCATCTATGGTTGACTGACAAAAAGCTGAAAATACAAAGGTTGGTCTGATAAAACAGAAAGGATTTGGGAATCTTGGTTAAAATGGGGATCCTTAAATCTATGTGCAAGGAGACTGTCTAAGAAATATAAGCAGAAATAAAGAATAGGGCTAAAAAAAAAAAAATGATCCCAATAGCTCCGATTTTAGGTCAAAGAGAGAAATCGGGACTGGGAAATTATAACAATTTTGAGAGAAGAGGCAAATGAGAAACAGAATTCAATTTAATTTCCAAAGTAAAAGTGAATTCCTCAATACACAGTATGTACTGTGCTGAAGACCAGCTTATGGTTATCACCTTTGTAAATGTGATCTGATCACGGAAGTACAGTGTGGCCAGCCCTGCCATAGATGCAGCTCAGTGGGCAAATACACTACATAAAAGGCACAGATGGAGACAGAGACATTTTTCAAGAGATGACACCATTCCTGCTAAGGATTTACAGATAGGAAAAATTCTCCAGGTAACTCTTGAGTATGTACCCATACAACTGAACATCCTACTACAGAGACACTTGTTCACCAATGTCCATTGTAGCTGTGTTCGTTATAACCGGAAATTATGAACAACCTAGAAACTATCAGTAGATGAAAAGATGAAGAGGATGTGGTACATTCACACAATGGCATATTACTCAGATTTTTAAAAAGAAAGAAATCATGAAATTCACAGCTAAATGGATGGAGACAGAAAACTCCATCTTGAGCGGAGCAACCCAGACCAAAGACAATTATGCTATGTTTTCACTTCTATGTGGATGTTAGCTTTAAGTCTTCAATAAGCAGGTTACAAATTATACAGCCACAGGGGTTAGGAAAAGAGTAAGGGCCTGGAGGGCAGGAATCATGCATCTCTCTTGGAATGAAAAGTAGAATAGATAGTTATGGATGGATGGCAATTGTGGAGGAGGGAGAATTGAACAAATGAATCTAATGAGGATGGAGAGAGAAGAGAGGGACATTATATAAACGGAGGGACATTATATAAAACTAAAGGTCATGTGGAAACATAATACAATAGAAAAACCTTTACATGGAATACAAATGACAAAGGCAGGTCCAATAGCCAACAGTAGATTGCTAATACAAAAACTCAGTAGTGATTTTGGAGAATTTTTGTCTTACAATGCTTTACCTAGGCTTTTTTTTCTCCCTTACAGGTCTTTCGTTTATATATGACTGTTTCTGGTTAGTATTCTTATGGGATTTCTGCACACACTGTTGTACATGTTTCTACATGTATATGTGTCTTTTGTGCTTTTGCTTTGGACATTTTTTTTCTGCTTGTTCTGTCCTGTTCTGATTTGCTTGTTTTTATTTGCTTTGATTTTTATTATTACTATTATCACTGACATGCCGGTTTGCTTTCTAATGAGATAGAGAGAGAAAGAGAGAGAGAGAGAGAGAGAGAGAGAGAGAGAGAGAGTGTGTGTGTGTGTGACAGAGTATTAATTGGGGGTTGGCAAAGTGTGAGGTTGTGAGAGGAGTAGGGGGAGGGAAACCATAACCAGAATATAGTATATGAAAAGTCTATTTTAAATATAGATAACTAGTGAGAAAGAGAGAGAGAGTGAAAGGCCAGCTGACTTACATGTGAGTCATCAAGGTATCAAGGTGCTGGAAGGCTGCAGTTTTGCAACTTGTCACCCATGCTGAGATGTGCATTTTTGTGATGCCACTACCTTTGTGTCACATTTACTCCTATTATTAACTTCAATAAATGCTTTGGTTCACGCACGCACACACACAATTTCATGGAAGAAGAGACAAGGGAAGAGTCACATCAAGTCAAATAAATTGATAACTAGTGAAGGGGAAGATAATAAATAAGAATGAAGAATATTGGTCATGATGACTGGTGAAACCAGAAGGATGGTGAAACCAGAATGGCAAAGGTCTTTGACTTTGCCACTTTTGAAGTCAACAGGGACCTCTGGTAACAGAAGCTGCCATGCAGTGCAACAGACTGAAACAAGACTGTAGTGGGATGAAGCCTGGGAGGAAGAGGTTGAAGCAGAGATGGTTTGGAAAGGGCTATTTCTCAAGGAGTCTAACTTATATAGGAGAAAATGAAGATCCAAGAGTTAGAAATGGTAAAACTCCAGAGAGGGTTTTTGGAGGTCAGCAAGAAAATAAGACATTATATGTAAGGAAGGGAAAAATCCAGAATTTACAGAAAGCATTTAAAATATTTCTTGTCAGTCATACAGCAAATGTTTATGGATAATCTATACTGATTATGAAAACACCATTCCAAGATAAACAACCAAGCTCTTTTGACAGTGTTAGCACAAGAAAACGAAAAACAAGAAAAATATTGGAAAGTCAATGAAAAAAATCAGATATACTTATTGTAAGTATTTCAGTTCTGAGGTCAGCTTAAGAGTCATGAAAACTTACTAATAAATTCTGTTTTGTCACATTTGAATAGGCAATGTCATATTTTAACATAAGCACTTATTTATTTTGTTTTCTTCAAGAGGAATAACGATCTTAATAAAAAAATTGTATCTGTTAGAAGGACTTTAGTGTGGAGCAGAAGTGTCAAGATGATTTCATGTGTTATATTACAAACATCTAAATGTCTATCAAGTCTACAGGATATGAAAACACTTGCAAGAAGCGTGGAATTGTGTGAGATGTTCTTATGTTTCTTCCAAAGTCTATTTTATTCTTCAGAGACAGAAAACTAGCCAACTAGAAATGGTGAGAGTCTTCAAATAATAGAGAGAGCAGGAGAATTTCATGAGACCAGAGGATGGCCTCACATGTTTCTACAATTGCTGAGCTGGCAATTCTTAATGTAACAAAATATCTAAGCAACCTGTTATCTTTCTCTACATGCACCATTTTTCAGTCTGATATTTCTTATCAGTGAGGGAATGCTGATGTGGAAGATAGCCTAAGATTGAGCCCATTCTGCTACAGCGTCAGATATTTGAATTTATGCCTGATAATTCCTAAAATACATGAACCACGATTGTATTATGAGGACTTAATAAAGTAGCAGTACTCTTCAAACTTCAAAGGAGACTTATAAAATATGCAAATTAAGCATGCTGTTTGAACTGACTGCTTCCAAACTCATCATTTCTTCCTCAGAAGTTGAGTACTTACTTTCTCCCTCATGAGAACTGAAAACAAATTTTCAAATGTGGAAAAGTGAGATTACTCCACTGCATACGGTGAATATTTTAAAAGCAAGCAATCAGTAGCTTGCTTTAGTGACAGAAGCTTATATGGAAAAATGTAAGGCAAAAGCTATAGACAATTAACAATCCTCCTAATTTATCTCTATGATAAGATTTTTAAGCATTTTAATTTGCTTTTTACTTGTGGGGGAGGGGAGGGAATGCACATGTGTATTTGTTCAGTGCCGGTGCCTGTGGAGGAGATCCCACAGAACTGGACTTATCCACTGTGGTGACCTGCCTGCTGTGGTTGCTGGGAAAGCACCCTCCCATCTCTGCAAGAACAGTAAGGTCTCTTGACTGCTGGGCCATTTCTGCAGCCCTACTCACTTTATAACGTTTCAATTTAAATGGAAATACACAGAGATGTTATTATTTTCCATCTTGCTAGATTTTCCAAAAAGAACAGAATCATATTAGATGATAACTCGGGGTAGAGGAGCATTTGTTACAACATTCAGATATTTAAAGTATTAGAAACGATATCCCCCCCCCGCTCCCCATGTGCATGTAAATAAACATGCTCAAGTCTGTGTCATGGTGGGCATGTGGACCACTTGCAGGACGAGTCAGTTCTCTCCTTCTATCATGTAGGTGCTGTAGATTGAATTCAGGTCATCAGACCGAGAGATAAGCCACCTTGACTTAGGGCCATCTTCTACTCCAGTGGTCCTCAACCATCCTAAGGCTGAGACCCTGTAATATAATTCTTCACATTGTAGTTGTGACCCCCCAACCATAAAATTATGTCTGCTGCTACTGTATAACTGTAATTTTGCTAATGGTATGAATTGAGATGTAAATTATCTGTGTTTTCTGATGCTCTTTGGGAAGTTGCACCCACAGGTTGAGAATCATTTCAAACTCGTTATGTTGATATGTCTTCATGAAAGTTGCTGATAGGATCACAGAGAATAGACAATGTGAGAGGAATTCTCCAATACACATATAGAAACCTCATGTCAGGGTGGTATTAATTTCTACATCAGATTCTCCAAGCTGTTAGTCATTCATCCAGTCACTCTAGTTTTCTTTCTCCTTTTATCTTCATAGTTGATATTGAAACCCATGAAAATATTTAAGGTAGAAAAATATTTTTCTAAATCCACTCATTGTATAAGAAAATAAAATGTGAGTCTATATTGATTGTCTTACCATAACACATTTTTTTAGGATTCTAAAATACCCATCTCTTTAATATTAACACTTAGAAATCTCTTGGTATAGATTTCTAAGCTTGTTATTTGATGCTCTCCACAATTTTGTCTTTATTGGCACTCTCCTTCAGCACAATTAAAACAGTTGACTATTATTTCCTTTATATCCCTTTCTATTTGTAATAACCATTTTAGCTGAAGAAGGTGTAACACTGTTTCCTGCTGACATCCAAATTCCACTCATCAATAACATCTAGCTAAATATGGGTCATATATATAGTATCAATTCTATTTTGTTACCTCGTATAAAACTGTTGTGTTTCCATGTAGAAGAGGCCCATAGCAAATATAGGAATGTCCAACAACCCAGCCTAAATCAGAAGCTGCCCACCATACCTAAAAAAATTAAAAAGATAATAAAATACATGTCTTAATCAGAAAAAAAAAATGTCATGTGGTAGAAGTGTAAAATCCCGATTACCTCTCCAGGTTTGAGGCCATATATGGAAGACATTGTCCAGTTCAACATTACAGCATATCCCCCAGTGGGTCTAACCACACCCTAAAAGAGAGAGAAAAATGAAGTCAACATTTACAAAATATGCTAAAAGTTCACTGTCTTCATTCTATCTACCCTAAAATTTACAGATTTAAATCATGTACTCTTCTATAACTTACAAATAATAGTGGCTCATACATGGCCTTATATAGAATTGTATTTGAAGTTTTATTTCTTTGAAATCTCCAATAGAGAACCCAGCGAGTTTGTGCTCATGGTTTTCATTTATAGAAAACTGTTGATATATAGCATTTTTAACAGTATACGAAAACATACAACTTCAAAAAGTGAAACACAAAGCAATTTTGTTAGTAATACATGGTATCAATATTGCATTTTCAAATGCATCAAAAGAACAAAAGTGGAAAGTACTCAAATTAAATGCACAAAATATTAAATGAAGTTGGCCTAAAATATAGAGCAACTTAAGAACATCCATTCCTAGCCATGACAACAAGAGACCACTTAGAGGAAACAAAGTTGCATTCTAATTAAGGACTGATTACTCTGCTAAGTGGGAATCACATGGTATGATATGGGAGTTGAGCAAATATTTCCTGATCATTTCCTGAACCCTGAACAATAAATCCTGATGAGTTAGCCTTCAGGTTAACAGATGTGTTTTATGTGGCTTTTGGGGCACATCAAGGCATTACTACATCATTACATATAGTTTTTATAAATCTGTTCCCAGTACCTTCCCTTTAACACTTGAAACTTATCCAAATGCAATAGAAAATTAATATTTGAACACTGGGCACATGAGTCACCATGATAAGAACAGATGATAAATATAATAATTAGGTTTGTTTATTACACCATTATAAATATTAGTGATCATTAGTGCCAATAAGACATGGCCATTAAATTGAGCCAGCAAATGCCTAGTGAGTAATAACACTAATATGAAATTTCCATGCCCTTCACAGCATCTCTGAGCCTACCGTTAGAACTGTTCTCTTCAAAACATTATTCTACTCAAAAGACGTAAGTATGCCATAACTAATGGATGTTCTCTTGGTTGCACACTTTTTTTTGTAACACTCCATATTTTAACACATGTACATGATTCAGCAGAATTACTCGGGCATGGGGAAAGCCCTGATGTTTAAATAGCTGCTAACATTGCTGCTCTCCTCGGGTTCCTCAAATAAAACACAGGCATCTCACTGTAGAACATACTGTGTCGGCCAACAACACCTGGTCTCTTGGCAAATATCGGGGACAGTTTTACTGGCATTTGAGAGCTCTTTTCTATGTTGTGTGATACAGTTCATAACCAGTTGGTTCTCTTGTTCACCTTAGAAATGTTAGATACTCTAAGCCTCTTTCTGGCAAGCTTTCTATATGTCCTTAGTCACCAAATCCAAATACTCTAGATGAACTCTAGTCTATCTTCCTTTTGCTAATTAGTTTCCTTTGCTAGTTGAAATGTACTTTCCTATGGCCCAGGAACTCAGTGTATTTGGTATTAATAGTTTCCAAACACACTTTCCTAAAAAAATAAATAAATTAGTCTTTTGGACTGTTCCTTTTTGATCCCGTTTGTTTTCATATGTTATAGTAGAAAGAACTATTTAGCATCAATAATGACTTGTGTAACATATTAGAGGTGACTTTTATCTACATATGTCCCAAAACTTTATTTATTTGGAAAGAAATGCTTTATGAGAATACTTCCAATACTCTGTGATTCTTGAACACAGAAGGTTCGTAAAATGTCTTTCACTTTTTTTTCTTCTGTTATCCGAAGAAGCATCAATGTATAGAACCCAGTACTTTTCCTGATACTCGTGAATATCATTCTGTGTTTCTGGGGCAGAACACAAAAAAACTAAAGATTCAGTCAGCTCTTAAACTTTCCCTAAGATTTTCTTCTATAATTACTTGGTCCAGATCCTATGTTTTATCCTTATGGACACTATTTAAGTAATAAATTCTGTAGAAAAACCAATTTGTGCACAGCCAATTCTCCCAGGGAATCATCATAAATTTTAATCTTATTAACATCAGCTTTCATAAGAATAGTTACATGGTCCCAGATCTAGCCATTCACAAAGGACCATTAAGAACAAGGAATTCAAACATTAAACATATAAAAAAACATAGGCAACAATTGTACAGCAAACTCCACTAAAGGCAGCAAAAGGTCAGTCCAAGTCATCTGAGCACTGTGATTTTTGCCAAGCAGAGTCTCAAGATGCATATCTTTGCCAGATACCTTTATCCTCTGGTAGGACCTACAAGTATTATCCACACTAGTCCACACTAGTGCGAAGCTCATAGTTAGGTAGCAACTAGAATTTCCCACATATATGTTGTGTTGCTGCTTTGTACCAAGGAATTATTTGTTATCACAGTGCAGTAAAATTTTATATGATAAACTGACTAGAAATTATGAAGACTAAAAGGCTTGGGATACATAACTGAGTATTAATGTGATTGCAAAACCTACAAGACAAATTAAAACTATGAATTAAACATTTATATCCATCAAATGACTACTTCTTGACATGATGCTTACCAAGTCATTCTATAATTACTCAATACTCAAACCTATGCCACCAAAAGTAAGAAAGAAAAACTATGAGATGTAAACATATGAACTATATCAACTCATGTTCTCATGTTTTATGAGTTCAGAAGTAAAAGAGAAAAGAAATATTAGGTTTTAAAGATATTATAAATATTAATAAGCTAATAAAACAGGGAGAGAAGTATGCTTTCCTTCTTGCCTGTTAACTATGATTTTCAGTTATGATAATTACATGTGAAGTAGAATCCTGTTTGGCCTCAGAACATAGAAGTCATTCTCAAAATAACCAACTATCAAATTACATTCTGGGTATGGAAAATTAATAAGGAACTAAAAATATCTATTTCTTAAAAAGTGATTCTTGGTGCATTTCCTATGCTGGCTTTAGCAATTATCCTGCCTTTAGCTTCAAGTAACTGTAACTATAGAGGTGTTTGCCAAAACTGGTTTTAAAGATGATAATTTTAAAGTATGTATTGGATATTGTGGTTAAGGTAAAATTACTTATTCAAGAATAATGCTTCCCTCTAAAATGCAAGTATAAGGTATTTCAGTCTTTTGGGTATCGGTTACCACTTTCCACCTTACACTCTATATTAAGTGTAAAAGGTTTAGGGATCTAAGGAAATCTCAGAAAAGCCCCATATATTACCAACATTGTGGACTCTACAGGATGAGACATAATCCTTAGGATACGGAAAAGCTGAATAATCTTCATGTGACTACAACACTTAGTTCTCAGAAGTAAAACATGACACAAATTATGTTTCAGAATAGGAAGTCTGAAAATATAGATATTTTTGACCACATAGAAATTTATACAGCATAGAAAAATTCAAATTCCATCCTCATAAAAGTAAAGGATGGTTACTTTCCATCCAGGAATGAGGCCAGACTCATCACAGAGAGCACCTTAAAATTACAACTTAATAGGATGATTTTTAACATGAGAAAAGTCACAGACTTACCTAAATTGTCACATTAAATGGAGACAGAAAATGGGACTGTAGGAAGTGTGCACACTTTCTGTTGCTGCAACTTGAGAATGAAACATTTAAATGGAGTAAGAGCATTGAAAGGCAAGAACAAGGAAGGCTGAAATGCATAGTGAGACTGAGTGTAAAGGATATCTATTCCCAAATAGTGTGTATGGGGTGAAGATACTTAAATTGTTCAATAAAAATATGAAGGCCTGAAACCGGAGAGATGGCTCAGGCCTTCTGAGATATATGATCGCTTAGTAGTGCTAATCCAGAGGACCAAAATTCAGTTACCAGAATTCATTTACAGGCAGCTTATAGCTCCCTGTAAACTCATCTCTAATGGAACTGGAACTGATACTCTTATTCAGCCTCTGCATGTGCACTCATGCACACACACACACACACACACACACACACACACACACCTGTTCCAAAACATGAAAGCCCTGAAAAATACATGTTGAATTTAAAAGAAAAACATCTACAAATGGTAAAGGGCATTGGAGAATTAACAAGAAAAGAAATAGCCCTTGTTAACTTAAACATTCTGTACGTCATTACAATTTTATTCACCCATGAACCTTGGCAAGACATAACCATTGGTGCAACAACAGCATGGATGTTGGGTTAGCCAACCAAGTTGAGCATCTAACTTGCTCCTAGCACTGTAAACATAGCCAAGAACCCATGGCTGAGGCAGTTATGTGCTAAAGGGGAGAATCTACTTCTATTATTTTGCTAAATGGACATAATATAAAACTGTTGTCTAAGTACTTATCTGTGTACCAATAGATTAATATCATTCAATTCTCAATAGAAATGCATTTTTCTAAATGGTGGTGTTGTGCTCAGCCCAAAATGGTCTGTATCAACTGTCTTTCCCTTAAGGCTTAGGGAACATATAGCAAGAAAGCAGAATTTGGAAAGAGACAGATTTTTCTGGAGGATATGAAACAGTGTCTTTTTGGTACACACTGAGTGCAGGGAGAATGTTGTAGTGTGTGTGCCACAGAATGGACATTTAGTTCAAGTGCTGACTGGAGAAAATAAACAGTGAAGAGGATAAGTACCTGATCAAGAAGACAATGGTCTGGAAAAAAAAAAAAGTACTTTTTTTTTTTTTTTTCCTTTTCAGGAGAATGCTTTCAAAGTTGTAGAACTTAGTGGAGCATCATAGAGGAGATGGAACCTCTCCATTTGAGATATTTCATCAAATACAAAACCTCTACCTACAGCTTCTTGAGGACTCCGAGACTACCTCTGCAGAAGATTTCTTAGCAGCTATGTAATGTTGTATTGATCTGTACAGCTATGAGATTAGGAGCTAAGACGTAGCAAGTTCAGCATTTTGCTAGCAAGAATTGTACCAGAGATGGGGGAGAAAATGTTCACTAATGTGTATTACTCTTGCTCTCTCTCATTTGCTCTCTTGGGGCAGAGAAGAAAACTAAGTCTACACAATGGGAACAAAAGTTACAAATTTG